CGCACAAAAAATACTAAATTTGCAAAAAACAATCATAATACCTGTGGTCGGATTATCCTGTGCTAATAAGGCGGTAACTGACAATTGGTGTTCGTTTAATAGATAGTCGCTGACGGTGAGTTTGATTCAACATACCATGCTGCCAAGCTACTTCTAACAAATTTTGATTCGAAACTTTTTTGAACAAATTGTTACTCAAAATAATCTTCATAATCATGATTACACAATGAAATCAAGGAGAACTTTGAAGCTCAAAATGAATGTGTACTTTTCTAATTGTCTGAAAAATGGTGCGCCGCCTTTTCTGTGTAAGAAAAAACATGAAAAGCCATTATTTATTTCTAAATTAGATAAAGTATTTGAGATAAATAGAATTTACGTGGACTTTAATCACGGCTTCAAGTTCGTGTAGCACCCGAATCAACTGAGCAATTGGATCTCGTTTCAGAAGTCCCTGCAGTTTTTCAGGGACCACTGAGTAATTTGACTGCAAGTGGATCAAACGAGTCGAGAAAAGACTTGAACTTTCTAGAAGATTATGATTATGTTTTAGATTAAAAACAAGGAAGCTGGATTGTGCGAGGATGAGGATGTGATTCCTCTAGAAGCAAAAAGTTTTTTATAAATCTAATAAAACTAACTTTAAATTAATTTACTTACTAATTTTTGTATTTTCGATTCATTTAATTTTGTTCTTCTAAAAGTTTTTAAGTTACTGCAGATTTAATGAAACGAAGGACATTTGTATTTTTAATCAATCAGTTTTAGGTTCTACAAAATGATTACAGATCATTGAGAAGTATAAGTCTTGAAAATGAAACTTACTGCTTCAAGTAAATTTTATTTCTTGTTACTGAATGAAAATCTACTACATTGGGAATTTTATAGAGAAATAACCGTGGAGCCTGCGTCGTTTCACGATATAGGGGATCGTTCTGTTCTTCGGGTTTTGACCTGACGTTAACTGTATCGTGTGGTTGATTTGATTAGACTTATTGATACCTAGAGATATACTCATTAATTTTGCAATACTATCGAACCTTTGTGGTGTTTTTGATTTTATTTTTATTTTGAATTTTCTAAAATTAAATTAGTTGGGGTCTTGTTTGAGACTCTTGGTCTCACTATATGAGTTTCGGTCCGGAGTGGCTCACTCATGGAGTAATTTGAGATAAGGTAAACCGTCTGTTTGTCACGCTATCATTTTTCGGCCGTATAGATTCGTGCAACTTCTTAGTCTAATACGTATCTTAATCTTACTCATAAATATCATTGTCTCCATTGATCTAGTGTATACTGGTATTTGCGAGATAAAATATCAGGAATTGTTCTGAAGGGTAAGACTCTTTGCTAAATTATTTTTATTCTGTTCTGTTGCTGAAACTATGAGTTGTTTCAGCCGTACAATTTACAGTAAGTGTTAACCATGGATCATGGTTGTTTAGTTGAAAATACTTTCAGAAATAGTTTTATCAATAAAATAATTGGATTAAATTACTAACTTTAAAATGGTTGGAGTTGGGTGATATTTTATTATAAATCTGCTTAATGCATTAGTCAACCGACATTTAAAAAAATCTAGTGTTTTTCACTTCTGAGAAAAATTGGTTTTAATTTTTTGTTCTGACTTTCAAAGAAAATGAGGAATTGTTATTGATATGATTGACTTGGTTTTTATTATTAAGACCATTTATACAAAGAATGTTGACTGTGTGTGAGTATCGATCCAAAAATCTTATCTATTCAAGCGAGTTTGTTTCCACTAGACTACACTGCAGTTGGATTATCTGCTCGGTTGATAATCAATAGTTGCAGTACACGCATTGTTCAATCGTGGCAACTTGTTTGCCCACAATTTTGTTCCAAGTTGAATCGACTCCAACTTATTGGTCATATTATTCCGACTCAGTTTTTAGGTCTCTACGTTTGATATTGCAAGTACAAAATTTATAGTTTAACAAAATACTCGTCCATACCAGTTGCGAACAGTCGAAACTTTTACGATTTGCACTGATGACAATGGTTAAGTCCTTGCTTTTATATTCCGCATGTGCATAATCAAGTTCAGTAATAAACAACTTTCTGAATTCTTTTACAGTTTGCGGATTCCGCTTACAAATTTTGCGGATTCCACTTACATTTGCGGATTCCAATTACATTTTGCGGAAACCACTTACAGTAGCGGAATCCAGAACAACTAGCTGTATTTGCTTTTTGCGGAATCCGCAACAAATTAAATGTGCCTACAAAATTTACATTACAAGTTTATGCACGCGGAATCCACGTAAATCTTGTATGTGGAATCCACTTACATTTTTGGAACATATTTAAATACTTGTCTCTGCAATCCAGGAACATACAGCGGTAACTGGCAATTGGTGTTCGTTTAAGAGATAGTCGCTGACGGTGAGTTTGATTCAACATACCATGCTGCCAAGCTACTTCTATCAAATTTTGATTCGAAACTTCTTTGAACAATTTGTTACTCAAAATAATCTTCATGATCATGATTACACAATGAAATCAAGAAGAGCTTTGAAGCTCAAATTGAATGTGTACATTACTAATTGTCTGAAAATGGTGCGCCGCCTTTTCTGTGTAAGAAAAAACATGAAAAGTAATTATTTATTTCTAAATTAGATAATGTATTTGAGATAAATAGAATTTACGTGGACTTTAATCACGGCTTCAAGTTCGTTTAACACACGAATCAACTGAGCAATTGGATCTCGTTTCAGAAGTCCCTGCAGTTTTTCAGGGACCAATGAGTAATTTGACTGCAAGTGGATCAAACGATTCGAGAAAAGACTAGAACTTTCTAGAAGATCTGATATTGAAATCTGAGATTCGTTCAGAATTTGTTCAAGTTTCTTCGGACTAGTTTTTGTTTTGTTTCTCCTGCTTTTCCTGTGCGTTTTCACAGATTTCGTCGACGTGAAAGAATTATCACAATTTTGAAGCGACGTGTTGAGATTGAGAGCTCCATTTGATTGAGCGGTTTGTTTTGTTTGTCTAATCTGCTGTCGGAATGAAGTAATAAAATCGGACTTTACTCTTTCAAGGGTAGCCTTTGAAAGGTCCACTGACAAGTCACTCTCAGTTCTGCTATCGTGTAGTTTGCAAACGTCGGGAACTTCAATGGCGGTTTCAGGAATCTCTTGATTAAGATTCCTAAGATCCCTCATACTTAGTTTATTAGTTTTCAATTTTTGACAACCGTTTTCGGTTTTAGAGAAACTTTCGTTCAGGTTGGAACGTGTAGAGATTTCGTCCACAGTTTCGAGCTTCTTTTCGATCTCATCTTCAAAAAGTGGCACTGAAGGTGTTCTTGTTGACGTCTCGCTTTTGACAATGTCTGTTTGTCACGCTATCATTTTTTGGCCGGATAGATTCGTGCAACTTCTTACTCTAATACGTATCTTAATCTTACTCATAAATATCATTGTCTCAATTGATCTAGTGTATACTGGTATTTGCGAGATAAAATATCAGGAATTGTTCTGAAGGGTAAGACTCTTTGCTAAATTATTCTGTTCTGTTGCTGAAACTATGAGTTGTTTCAGCCGTACAATTTACAGTAAGTGTTAACCATGGATCATGATTGTTTAGTTGAAAATACTTTCAGAAATAGTTTTATCAATAAAATAATTGGATTAAATTACTAACTTTAAAATGGTTGGAGTTGTGTGATATTTTATTATAAATCTGCAAAATGCATTAGTCAACCGACATTTAAAAAAATCTAGTGTTTTTCACTTCTGAGAAAATTTGGTTGTAATTTTTTGTTCTGACTTTCAAAGAAAATGAGGAATTGATATTGATATGATTGGCTTGGTTTTTATTATTAAGACCATTTATACAAAGAAGGTTGACTGCGTGTGAGTATCGATCCAAAAATCTTATCTATTCAAGCGAGTTTGTTTCCACTAGACTACACTGCAGTTGGATTATCTGCTCGGTTGATAATCAATAGTTGCAGTACACGAATTGTTCAATCGTGGCAACTTATTTGCCCACAATTTTGTTCCAAGTTTAATCGACTCCAAGTTATTGATCATATTATTCCGACTCAGTTTTTAGACCTCTACGCTTGATATTGCAAGTACAAAATTTATAGTTTAACAAAATACTCGTCCATACCAGTTGCGAACAGTCGGAACTTTTACGATTTGCACTGATGACAATGGACAAGTCCTTGTTTTTATATTCCGCATGTGCATAGGCAAGTTCAGAATTAAACAACTTTCTGAATTCTTTTACAGTTTGCGGATTCCGCTTACAAACTTTGCGGATTCCGCTTACATTTGCGGACTCCAATTTCATTTTGCGGAAACCACTTACAGTAGCGGAATCCAGAACAACTAGCTGTATTTGCTTTTTGCGGAATCCGCAACAAATTAAATGTGCCTACAAAATTTACGTTACAAGTTTATGTACGCGGAATCCACGTAAATCTTGTATGTGGAATCCACTTACATTTTTGGAACATATTTAAATACTTGTCTCTGCAATCCAGGAACATACAGACACAAAATTGTGCGCCTATCCAAAGCACAGTTTGGCCTCGTAATTTTTTGATTTTTGCTTTTACTTTTTACGTACTTGTTTCAATTAATACTTAGATTGAAAATTTGTTCGTTTATCAGTTCTAACCACGCACAAAAAACACTAAATTTGCAAAAAACAATCATAATACCTGTGGTCGGATTATCCTGTGCTAATTAGGCGGTAACTGGCAATTGGTGTTCGTTTAAGAGATAGTCGCTGACGGTGAGTTTGATTCAACATACCATGCTGCCAAGCTACTTCTAACAAATTTTGATTCGAAACTTCTTTGAACAATTTGTTACTCAAAATAATCTTCATGATCATGATTACACAATGAAATCAAGAAGAGCTTTGAAGCTCAAATTGAATGTGTACTTTACTAATTGTCTGAAAATGGTGTGCCGCCTTTTCTGTGTAAGAAAAAACATGAAAAGTAATTATTTATTTCTAAATTAGATAATGTATTTGAGATAAATAGAATTTACGTGGACTTTAATCACGGCTTCAAGTTCGTTTAACACACGAATCAACTGAGCAATTGGATCTCGTTTCAGAAGTCCCTGCAGTTTTTCAGGGACCACTGAGTAATTTGACTGCAAGTGGATCAAACGATTCGAGAAAAGACTAGAACTTTCTAGAAGATCTGATATTGAAATCTGAGATTCGTTCAGAATTTGTTCAAGTTTCTTCGGACTAGTTTTTGTTTTGTTTCTCCTGCTTTTCCTGTGCGTTTTCACAGATTTCGTCGACGTGAAAGAATTATCACAATTTTGAAGCGACGTGTTGAGATTGAGAGCTCCATTTGATTGAGCGGTTTGTTTTGTTTGTCTAATCTGCTGTCGGAATGAAGTAATAAAATCGGACTTTACTCTTTCAAGGGTAGCCTTTGAAAGGTCCACTGACAAGTCTTTCTCAGTTCTGCTATCGTGTAGTTCGCAAACGTCGGGAACTTCAATGGCGGTTTCAGGAATCTCATGATTAAGATTCCTAAGATCCCTCATACTTAGTTTATTAGTTTTCAATTTTTGACAACCGTTTTCGGTTTTAGAGAAACTTTCGTTCAGGTTGGAACGTGTAGAGATTTCGTCCACAGTTTCGAGCTTCTTTTCGGTCTCATCTTCAAAAAGTGGCACTGAAGGTGTTCTTGTTGACGTCTCGCTTTTGACAATGAATGTATTTCTGCTGTCATTTGCTTTTTTCGGAATTGTCATTTGTTGAGATGCATTCAGACTTGAGTTCTCATGAGCTTTTCCATTTTTTGAATCGTTTGAAACAGTCAACGCTTGTTTAAATTCATCCGAAAATCCAACATTTTCGTAGATACTAGAATTAACCGAGTCTCTTCCCGAACACGCATGTGTCTTGCTTTCCTTCGAAGCTAAATTATCGCGTTTTCGTCTTACTGAATTATAAGCCTCGGATAAATATTCATCCAAGTTGGTCGAATTATCTGAGTTTCGTTCCATTTTCAAAAATTGAGGTGAGTATAGTTTTCCCAGCGGTTTTAACTGTAGATGATCTCCATTTACTTTGGTGTGCAAAGTTGGTGTAAAGCTTAAGTTGATCAAATTTTGGGAATTTGGAGAGTTTTCTGGAATTTTGTTGACGTGGGAAAGAGTTCTTTCGCCGATCGAACTTTTGAACAAAAGGTTGATGAGCTTCGGAATATAATTGGAGCATCTAAACACTATTTGAGCCATCAGCTCCAGTTCGTGGAATAAGGTCTCGATGTCTTTCTGCAGTTTTTTGTTTTCTAGGAAAAGTTCTTCCGATTCTTGCTTCCATTTTTTACAGTGAGAAGCTGAAAAAAAAGTTTATTTTATCATTTTTTTTATCATACTTAAGCATTACTTGGAGCGAAAAAGTAGACTGGGAAACCATCATGGTGAGAGCCAGCATTAAAAACATCATTTGTGAATCTATTCAAAACATCATTTGTGCATTAAAAACATTATTTGCGAACCTTTGGGTTAAACTAAAAGATCATTTGCCTGTTTGTCCAACAAAAACATTTAGGCACGACTAGAGGCAGTTCACTTGGAAGTCGTCTAATCCTGTAATTTTCCGCTCCCATGGCAATGATAGCGTCTGAGAACGAGCTCTCACTTGACCTTTAGCTTCAGTTATACCTCAGTCTATTCTTTTATTGATGGGAACATTTAGGGAGGGGGGGCGGATTCCCCCCTCCCATCAGGGTCAGGGATTCGACCCCCTGACGACCCAAAAGGTCCACCCTTTGTACTATTTTGAGATACCCATTTTTGGTACCGGACCTTAAACTTTTTCAAAAGCGCCTGCGGCGCCAATATATATTAAATTTGATGGGGAAGCGCGCCGAAAAACCGCGCCTTTTTAGTCAACATTTTTTGGCATGTGTTTTCAATTTTTTCAAAATTTTGCCCGCGTTGCAGAACATTTGGCCTAAGCTGGGTCTTTTTAGAGCTTTGGAAGAACTCAAAAATCAATTTGGTCGACCTAAAAAAAAATGTCGGCAAATGTTCGAATTTTTTCGAGAATCTGCCCCCCCCCCCCCTCTCGAGAAAATCCTTCATACGGCCCTGGTTTAAATGAAAATTACCTCTGTTAATTAGTAGATAGTTTCATTTATTTTGTTAATACTGTCGTGTTATCCTCCATTACCTAATTTTTTCGGATCAACCGTACATACCACCCCTTCACCTACCCCCAATCGATTTAAGGGGAAAAAATGAAATTTTCCTTTGCTATTTTTTGGGGAAAATATGAGAAACGAACTATGGTCAGATCGAGGGGATAGCCTTTCTTAGATCCTCTGCAAATCGCAGAAACCACAATTAATACTTAGGAAATTTTAACTCAAATCCGACTATCAGGTGACCGGTTTTCTAGCAGACCGGTTTTTCAGCAGAAAAAAAAAGAAATTCAAGTCTTTTCGCAGACTTTGAGTGAGAGCTTGTGGAGCCAGCAAAAATTGACGCATAATTGATGGACTGAAGTAAAATGGCGCGTCATCTGGGGTTGAGTTTCCCTAATTAAGGCAATTATCTCACGGTTTGTCAACAAAGTTCGAAGCAAACAAACTAGTTTAACGGCAAACACTATGATTCACTGACATTATTCCTCTCGAGCCAGATGTAAGCAATCGTATTCGACTTGCCAATGCCGTGTTTGAAGTTAGCCTTCTGACTGTTTAATTGTGTCTGCTGAAAAACCTAGCCCCCGACTAGCATAATCGTATTCGCTTCGAAGTTGAATGGGGATCAATCGTTTAGCAGACAAATATTTTAGCATGAAAATTGAAAATTTAGTCTTTTAGCAGATTTTGATTGACGGGCAGTTAGCTGGGGCTGGGGCGCCAGTAAGTCTGGGTTTAGCATAATTATTTCTTTGTAAATAAAACATGCACTCATTTTAGCGCGTTGAATTGAAGCGCAGCGTTTATAATTGTTCTGACTCTGCTAAAAAACCTGTCTGCTAAAAAAACCGGTCTGCTAAAATCCCTAGCACCAAGTCGAATGATCCAGACGGTGAACTTAATACGTTATTATGAGAGAAACAGCAAACAAAGCAGACCCAAGGCGAATAGTGTTAGGTGAGTATTGAGTTACTATTTATTACAGCAGTTAGTCTTATTTTTTTGTTCCGATTTTCGTAACGAAAAAAAAAACGGAATATTTGGGCTTGGGTGGGTTTTTTTTCTTCAGACAAACTCTGAATTTTTAACTAGCCATTTTTGACGGAATTTGTTTATATCTTTTGAAAGCTATTGTTGTCTTGAGCTTAAATTTGAAAAAAAATTTCACCTGTGATCATTTTTGTTACAGTTAAGGGGGTTTAAAGACTACTATTTTGGCCAATATACATCGTGCTATTAACGCGTAAGTGGAGATTTAATCCGTCTTAAAATTCACTCCATATTGATACACGGAAGCTTGCATGCCATAATTGATTTGTTAATAGGCGCAAAATTTATCAATTTGTACTTAATATGGCATGTTGCGGATGTTTTCATTTAAAAAATCTCACTAAATTAGAAAAAAAAATTATTTTTTTAACATTTTAAATATTTCATGTTATTACTGCTCCACAGACCTTAAAAGGTAGTCGGAACATTCAGGGCTTCGCCATGATACGCGCAGTCTTGTTCGATTTGAGGACAAACACGGAGTGAAGTATATATTCGTTTACCGCCCAATTTGTTCAATTACCCGCCGAAATGTTTTCATTTTGTTTGTCCTGCTCGTTATTAAGTTCACTGTCTAGATCGGTTACTTAGCTGTATTTAGACAACTGCGTATTCTAGTAGTCAGTAAGCAGACAAATCCTGTATCAACCAATCAGAACCGACACAAGGAAGAAACTAATAAATAAGTATTAATTATTGTGAAAGTTTGCCTTCTCATCTCGATTCTGATTGGTTCATACAGTATTTATCTGCTTTCTGACGAGTAGGAATACGCGGTGGTCTAAATACAGACCGCACTCCGTCTCGATCAAACCCGTCGCTTTGTCATTCACCGCTTCGAAAATAGACAAGAACTTACCAAGGTTGCGATGACTGGCATCGTAACAAGTTCCGTTCAAATTCCCATCTAAGGTATAATATTTCCCATTGTCACCCATTCGGCTTGCACTGGTGCCAACTGTTCTCGTGTCCAGCGACTGGTTCAGCCTGTCTCGGGTGGTATTGGGCCGACTGTATATATGGCTGGCATATGGATCTCCCGACTGAGAGGGGAGGGGATGAAGATAGTCAAGGGCTTCACTTCGGGTGGGCCGTACGGCAGGGGCGGCGTAGGAGTTATTCAGCTGGTGAGGAGGAGGCTGTTGTTGTCGGCGGCTAGCTCTCGACGAGTATCTATCTGTGTCGTACAGTTGCTCGTCTTCGCTGGCTGAACTACTGCTGGAGTATTCCATGTCTTGACGCATAAGCAGGTTGGCTGCTTAAAACACAAGTATAACAAAAAGTAATATCATTTTGAAATGATCCAAGGAAAAATTATTTTACTGAGAGAACATAGTAATAGAGAACATCGCAAAAGGGATGGAATTTTAGACAAACAAAAATTAATATTTTGTCCACCTGTTTTGTTAGATCGACCAAAATTGTTTTGATAGACCAGAAAGACCCTTTTTCACAAAAACTTCTGCGCTGCAGCCAAGCTTTTGCAAAATCGTGCCATAAAAGTCTTTTCGAGCTATTTTTGAAAAAAAGTACTTGAACACCTTTTTTTGCGAACGCTCGCGTCTTTCAATTATCATACAATATATAATTCAAGTTTACTTGGCAGAAGTTTGGATATCATAAAGAGCAAGAAGGTCCCCCTTAAATCGCCGATTGACAAGATAATCAGCTTTTTTTCATAAGAAAACAAGGATAGCCGGTTGCTGTGTGAGTAGCACTGATTGTTCCGACCACATTCCTAAAAACTACAAAAAAATGTTATCTTCAAATTAGCGTCGTTTCTTCTGTGTGGTGGTGTAATTACAGAATTATATAAAGGCGAGAAAATTAGGCATAGATAAAACACAACAGCTGTCTTCAAAAATTCAAAACTCAAAAATGTTTACTTATTTTTTGCACATAAATTTTTAATCTTGTATGATAATTTCTACGGCCAAGAAAGCTTCAAAACTGGTTTTCTTTTTAATACAATAATTATCTTTTTTAGCCTAAATAGCCAATATTTATTTTTAACGAACGTTTTTCGATGGCTTCACTCGATCGAAATTGGACTAAAACTCAAAAATTTTTGAGCCGGTTTTTCTCAACACTGGGAAAACTTTTTTGAAATTTTAAAATGTTGTTCGAATCACGACTGAGAGGGCTTAAATTTGATATATCATGCAACCCATTTTGATTATTATTTGTACCTGCTTTTGCGTGGAAAACAAGAAAAAGAAAAATTTGAAACACACCCGAATACAAAGTTCATCCATATTTTTCAAATGATCGGAAAAAATTACAACATCTGAGCCGCTGAGCATGAGTCGGTGAAAGTAACGTTTCTAACTTACATGCATTGAGTCTGTTCTGTGTGGTTGTTCGTGCTGAGGACTTCTTCTGTTTTCTGCCGGATGGTTCCGAGTTATTCTTTGTCGACTTGGTTCGCAGAAAAGAAAAACCAGCCATGGTGTCGTATGTGCCGCTTCTTTCACTCGTCTCACTTGATTTCCGCTGATGCAATTGTGACTATTTTTAATTCAACGAAATAAAATTTTGCAAAAAAACTTAAGGCAAATAATATGTATTTCCTTGTAAAGTTTTTAACTTCTTGTAAAGTTTTATTAAATTTTGCGCGAAGCTTAATAATTTCTGCGAGAAAATTAGCTCACACTAGTTAATAGCAAATTAGCATCTTAGTTTTTGGATGATTTATTGAAGCAATCAAGAGAGTCTATTGAATGGTATCAAATTAAATTTATTAGCTCGCAATGCTGGTATACCGAAAAGCGATATATATTTTGTAATTGTTATACCAAGATTCGAACCAATTTTTGGACGCTTTCCTCTGCCGAAGCTTAAAGAGCCTCTTTTCAGATAAAACAGCAAGATCAATATGAAAGTGGCCGCTTTGCTTTAATAACTTTCAAAGGAAAGGCAGGTAGGTTATTCACTATGAAAGTGTGCTCTAATTCCCGGTTATAATCCAATTGTAACCTTCGATTATGAACGATAGAAGTTTGCTGTGCTAGGTCGCTATAGGGATTTAGAAGCAATATTAATTGTATTATCTTTATAATGAGCTAAAGAATTAACAATTTGGGTTATTATTTGAGGGAAAATTTGGTCTTACCAAGCGTTTTCCACAGAGTCGCAATGTCCATAGTTGTGGAACCCCTGAAATAAATTGGACTCTAAGATCCGGTGTCAAAGAGATAAGAACCTCAAAATGATCGATTTTAAACTAAAGCTCTTCCAACCCGGAAATAACTTTCTTTGCAATGCCAAAAATTAATTCTTTTAGTGTAAACAAAGAAAATGTGACAATTCTTTTGGGATTTCAAGAATAATTTGATGATTTTTGAATAATACCGATCAAACGATGATAGATTCCAACGTCAATTTGCGATTTTTTGCGATTCCTTAAAATTCACTCAATGACTCATGTAGAAATGATTTTTTTTTATCGAAACAATTAAAAATCGCACCCTTTTTGGATTCCTGGCAAAACAAATCCCTTCCCACTTTTGATTGTGGGAATTTAACAAAATTTGAATCGTTTAAAAGATAAAAAGGAATTAACTCTAGCGAAAATACTTACACGCGGAAAAACTGCGTCGGTACAGACAATGCTTCATTTATCACCGGAACGGAAAAAGCACTTTGATTATCAAGTGTATATTGTAGTATGTAAATGGACTGGATGATTTGTTAAGGTTGCTCGAAAATGTAGTGCAAGGAAGCTATAACAGTTCATTAAACCTCAGAAGTTTAAATAGAAAACCATACTTAGTTTATACGTGACCAAGGCCAACATAAATGTTTACACAAAAGTCAAAACACCAATTTTTGTTCAAATCTTATTTTCAATCAAGTTGAACATTTTGATCAAAATTGAGATTTATGGTTCAAGACTACAGTTTTAATTTAGATTATAGCGTCTGGTAGCAAAACTCAGCATGTTTGACTGTTCAAAATATGAACTAATCTTGATAGGAGTCTGTCAATCTCAAATTATGACAAAATAGCACCCTCTCTCCCCTTAGTTTCTCTCTCACTCTCATGCAGTAGTTTGCGAACAGGAATTTGATCATTTAAGGTCAGGTCAAGCAAACATAAATATGATTTCGAATATGATTGAAAGTCTGCTGAGAGGGAGAAGTGTTTAGTTTTACTGCAGTAGTGCGCAGAGTTAGGCGAATGCCTCCTCCCCAGTTCCAATACTCCACCCCGGGTCGAGGTCCGCGACTAATTTTTTTACTCTGACGGTCGCGGAAATGTTAATTCCGCGACCACCGAATATCCATAGTCTGGACAGGGTTTTAAGTCGCGGACAACCTCTGGAATTACCGTATCTCGGTCGCGATGTTCGGAAAATTAGTCGCGGCGGTCGAAAATTTAGTCGCGGTGGTCAAAAAATTAGTTGCGGCATGGTCGGAAAGTTAATTGGTCGCACCAATTGCTCTTAAATTTCTTTCGATCACACCGATTGTGGTCAACTTTTGTTCGGTCGCGCAGGTTGTGAACAATTTTTGACCATGCCGCGACTAATTTTTCGACCGCCGTGACTAAATTTCTTTCGATCACACCGATTGTGGTCAACTTTTGTTCGGTCGCGCAGGTTGTGAACAATTTTTGACCATGCCGCGACTAACTTTTTCTACCGCCGTGACTAATTTTTTGACCGGCGGGACTATTTTTCGACCACCGGGACTAATTTTTTGACCAGCGCGACCAATTTTTGACCGCCGCGGCAAAATTTTTGACCATTCTACGACTAATTTTCCTTTCGGTCGCACCGGTCGCGATTAACTTTCCTTTGGTCGAGCCGATCGCGGTCAACTTTCCGTCAATCGCATTGGTCCCGCACACATTGCCTCGGTCCGCAAAGACTGCTGGAAAAACCAAATTTTGGTCGCGGTGATCTGAAAACATTCAATTTCGGTCGCGGCAGTCTGGAAATACCAAAAGTTGGCTGCGATCCTTCCCACCATCTGATCATAAAACCACAGACTTGACACGGTACGCAGTAGCTACGATGTAACGTGGGATTTTTCCTGCCGATTTAGATTACCTCATAGAACGCTTGTACGTCATATAACGGATACATGGCAAAAGATCCCTTTCCTTGAAAAACGGTTACATGGCAAAAGATCCCTTTCCTTGATATAACGGTTACATGGCAAAAGATCACTTACATTAAGATCCCAAACGAATGCCTCCTCCCCAGTTCCAATACTCCACCCCGGGTCGAGGTCCGCGACTAATTTTTTGACTCTGACGGTCGCGGAAATGTTATTTCCGCGACCACCGAATATCCATAGTATGGACAGGGTTTTAAGTCGCAGACAAACTCTGAAATTACCGTATCTCGGTCGCGATGTTCGGAAAATTAGTCGCGGCGGTCGAAAATTTAGTCACCACATGGTCGAAAATTAGCGCGGCATACTCGAAATTAGTCGCGGTGGTCGAAAATTAGTCGCGGTGGTCAAAAAATTAGTTGCGGCATGGTCGGAAAGTTAATTGGTCGCACCAATTGCCGTTAAATTTCTGTCGATCACGCCGATTGTGGTCAAGTTTGGTTTGGTCGCGTCGGTTGCGAACAATTTTTTGACCATGCCGCGATTAATTTTTCGACTGCCGTGAATAACTTTTCCACCGCCGCGACTAATTTTTCCACCGCCGTGACTAATTTTTTGACCGGGGGGGGGGGGCTAACTTATCGACCACCGGGACTAACTTTTTGACCAGCGCGACCAATTTTTGACCACCGCGGCAAATTGTTCGACCATACCGCGATTAATTTTCCGTTCGGTCGTACCGGTTTTGATTATTTTTCTGTCAATCGCGTTGGTTGCGGACACATTGACTCGGTCCGCAAAGTCTGCTGGAAATACAAAATTTTGGTCGCGGTGGTCTGAAAATATTCAATTTTGGTCGCGGCAGTCTGAAAATACCAAAAATTGGCTGCGATCCTTCCCACCGTCTGATCATAAAACCACAGACTTGACACGGTACGCAGCAGCTACGATGTAACGTGGGATTTTTCCAGCCGATATAGACTACCTCATAGAACGCTTTTACGTCATATAACGGTTACATGGCAAAAGATCCCTTTCCTTGATATAACGGTTACATGGCAAAAGATCACTTACTTTAAGATCCCAAACAAATGCCTCCTCCCCAGTTCCAATACTCTACCCTGGGTTGAGTTCTGCGACTACTTTTTCGACTCTGACGGTCGCGGAAATGCTAATTCCGCGACCACCGATTATCCATAGTCTGGACAGGGTTTTAAGTCGCGGACAAACTCTCGAATTACCGTATCTCGGTCGCGATGTTTGGAAAATTAGTCGCGGCGGTCAAAAAATTAGTCGCCACATGGTCGTAAAATTAGCGCGGCATACTCGAAATTAGTCGCGGCGGTCAAAAAGTTAGTCGCGGTGGTCAAAAAATTAGTTGCGGCATGGTCGGAAAGTTAATTGGTCGCACCGATTGCCGTTAAATTTCTTTTGATTACGCCGATTGTGGTCAACTTCGGGTGGGCTGTCCGGCAGGGGCAGCGTGGAGTTATTCAGCTGGTGAGGAGGAGGCTGTTGTTGTCGGCGGCTAGCTCTCGACGAGTATCTATCTGTGTCGTACAGTTGCTCTTCTTCGCTGGCTGAACTATTGCTGGAGTAATCCATGTCTTGACGCATAAGCTGGTTGGCTGCTTAAAAAACAAATAGAACAAAAAGATGTATCATTGTGAAATAATCCAAGGAAAAATTTATTACTAAAAGAACATAATAATTAGTTCTAGCGTTTTCGCAAGGGGGATGGGATTTTAGACAAACAAAAATTAATGTTTTGTCCACCTGTTTTGTTATATCGAACAAAATTGATAGATAGACCAGAAAGACCCTTTTTCACAAAAACCTCTGCGCTGCAGCCAGGCTTTTGCAAAATCGTGCCATAAAAGTCTTTTCGAGCAAATTTTGAGAAAAAAAACACTTGAACAGCGTTTTTTTGCTCACATTCGCGTCTTTCAATTATCATACAATGAATAAGGCAAGTTTACTTGACAGAAATTTGGATTTCATCATAAAGAACGAGAAGGTTACCCTTTAATCGCCGATTGACAAGATAATCAGCTTTTTTCATAAGAAAACAAGAATAGCCGGTTGCTGTGTGAGTAGCACGGATTGCTCCGTCCACATTCGTAAAAACTACAAAAAAAATTATCTTCAAATTAGCATCGTTTCTTCTGCGTGTTGTTATTTCAGAATTATATAAACACGAGAAAAATAGGCATAAAACACAACAGCTGTCTTCAAAAAATTAAACAAAAAAATTCAGAAAAAAACTCACAAAAATTCAAAACTCAAAAATGTTTACTTATTTTTTGCACATAAATTTTTAAACTTGTATGATAATTTCTACGGCCAAGAAAGCTTCAAAACCGGTTTTCTTTTTAATACAATAATAATCTTTTGTTAGCCTAAAAGGCCAATATTTATTTTTAAAGAACGTTTTTCGATGACTTCACTCGGTCGAAATTGGACTAAAACTCAAAAATTTTTGAGCCGGTTTTTCTCATTACTGGGAAGAAAATTAGCTCACACTAGTTAATTGCAAAGTATCATCTTAGTTTTTGGATGATTTATTGAAGCAATCAAGAGACTCTATTGAATGGTATCAAATTAAATTTATTAGCTCGCAATGCTGGTATACCGAAAAGCGATATATTTTTTGTAATTGTTATACCAAGATTCCAACCAATTTTTGGACGCTTTCCTCTGCCAAAGCATAAATAGCCTCTTTTCAGATAAAACAGCAAGATCAATATGAAAGTGGCCGCTTTGCTTTAATAACTTTCAAAGGAAAGGCAGATAGGTTATTCATTATGAAAGCGTGCTCTAATTCCCGGTTATAATCCAATTGTAACCTTCGATTATGAACGATAGAAATTTGCCGTGCCAGGTCGCTATAAGGATTTAGAAACAATATTATTTGTATTATCTTTATAATGAGCTAAAGAATTAACAATTTGGGTTATTATTTGAGGGAAAATTTGGTCTTACCAAGCGTTTTCCACAGAGTCGCAATGTCCATAGTTGTGGAATCCCTGAAATAAATTGGACTCTAAGATCCGGTGTCAAAGAGATAAGAACCTCAAAATGATCGATTTTAATCTAAAGCTCTTCCAACCCGGAAATAACTTTCTTTGCAATGCCAAAAATAATTTTTTTAATGTAAACAAAGAAAATGTGACATTTCTTTTGGAATTTCAAGAATAATTTTATGATTTTTGAATGATACCGATCAAACGATGATAGATTCCAATGTCAATTTTGGCTCAACGAATTTTTGCGATTCCTTAAAATTCACTCAATTACTTATGTAGAACTGATTACTTTTTATCGAAGCAATTAAAAATTGCACCCTTTTTGGATTCCTGGCAAAACAAATCCCTTCCCACTTTTGATTGTGGGAAATTAACAAAATTTGAATCGTTTAAAAGATAGAAAGGAATTAACTCTAGCGAAAATACTTACACGCGGAAAAACTGCGTCGGTACAGACAATGCTTCATTTATCAACGGAACGGAAAAAGCACTTTGATTATCAAGTGTGTATTATAGTATGTAAATGGACTGGATGATTTGTTAAGGTTGCACGCAAATGTAGTGCAAGAAAGCTATAACAGATCCCTAAACCTCAGAAGTTTAAATAGAAAACCATACTTAATTTATACGTGACCAAGGCCAACATAAATGTTTACACAAAAGTCAAAACACCAATTTTTTTTCAAATATTATTTTCAATCAAGTTGAACATTTTGATCAAAATTGAGATTTATGGTGCAAGACTACAGTTTTAATTTAGATTATAGC